TCCTATCAGTAAACATGTCGACATGTGCTAGCATTTCAAACTCCCACTAGCGAGGGTCAGTAATCAGTAATCATGACTATATTAGAGACAAAACCATGCTGGATTTACAGGAAAAATCTGTAATTTAAAATCAATCTCAAATTTCAAGAATAAACCGAAAAAACTCCATGTGGCATGGATTAACAGGAAAATCATAATTTACAAAAATTTTCAGATCATCAGGGCAGTTAAGCAAACTCCAAATAGGCATGCTCTACTCAATGAAAATGATAATAATTCCATTTCAAACCAATCATGCTCGGTGCTAATAAAATAAATTTAAACCTTGCCACCATCTCAAAAACAATTTAAAATATGCTTTTACTTTGAAGTCGAAGGGTGTTACCATAATTTACTTACCTCAGTCGTATAATACAGAAAATTCACTCCAAGTGCTAGGGTGACAGAACAATCAAGAACCTAACCAAAATATTCCAGAATTAATAACCATATGACCAGACATCTCAATTTTCTTCTCAATATAAACTAAACATTTAAACCCTCCTATTGTTGGCCATTAATCCCATAAGGAAATCTTATTTCTTTATTTATTTATTCTTATTTTTCTTCTATCCGAAATTTATGCACAAAAATCAGATTGTGCATTTATATATATATATATATATATATGCATAAACACACATATACAAAATTCTCCAAATTCACGGACAACATGGAGGAGCCGGCTTTGGCGAATCAATGGCTAATTCACGAGATTTTTTTTCTAGAATCTCACAACAGCCAATTAACACTCAATCATATAAATTCTACATGAATTAAGCTTAATTTTGTCCTAATTGCTACCGGCATTCATCCCCTAATTCAGCAGAAATTCAGACAGCACAGGGGCAGCAATTAACTAGACTAAATTCAACAAACTAATGGGTAATTTGGGACTTAGAGGGAGTTGTCACTTACCAAAAAATTCAGCAAGCAAACCGGAGTTGCAGGTTGGGGAAGCCGACGGGAATTGGGGGGAAAATTTCGGGATCTACCAGAAATTGGAGAAACCAAAAGAAATTAGAGTAAACCCAAGCCAAATCAAGGGAGAAAAGGGGAATTGGTTGTTATTTCCCTTACCAGAAACCAGAGAAAATCACACCCACACAATAGAGCAGCAGACGAAGAGGAGGGAGCTCAGCAGATCTGGAATTTTCTGCAGAGGGGAAAGATTTCAAGGTTCTAAATCTTGTTCTTGAACAAGAGAAGAAGGGAAAAAGATCAAGCTTTTACCGTTTCTCAAGTGGGTGGGTGTTGTCGGGGCTTGGACTACTTGTTCGGTGCAGGGGAGAAGAAGAAGAGCAGAACACGCAGCTGAAGAAAGAAAGAAAGAAGAAAAAATCAGCCAACCTTATCCAATTCCTTTTCTCTTTTAAGTCCCTCAAATTTGAAAATTTGATAATTAAGCTCAACAATATTATTTTCTCACAATTAGGTCCTTAGCTCACACTTAATTGTTCTAGAAATTTTTGGGGTATTACAATATAATTACACCTCTAATTATGACATAAAAAATTATGATATACTCTGCTTTTATCTCAACTTTTTCATTATTATAAATCATCTATGAATAGACGATTAAAATTATTCTCAACAACAAAATTATGTGTTATAACAACTAATTTAATTGTTTTAGGGTGCGTTTGGGATTGTGGTTGGAAACTTTTTTGTGTAGTTATACAGTATTTTTAAATATATGTGTTTGATAATTTTTTTTCAAATTGCTTTTTTTAAAAGCTGCAAAAAATCACAGTAAATTTATAGTAATTTTATATATAAAACCAAAAATCTTATTTAGGAGCTTTCTAGTTGTAGTTTTTACAGAAAATACCTAATATTTAATATAATTATAAAATTACCAATTAAAACTTAGTTTTATATAATTTAATTACATTATAATTTATAATACTTTAATAATTAAAAAATTTTAAAAACTTAAATTATTAAAAAATAATAAATGTTATTTTTTTAATAACTATATATCTTACAA